GGGATGTTTAAAGCTTTTTGTTAGGTTGTGTATTTTTCATAATCTTGTACCGTTTTATCATGTGTCATATTTCCTTTCACCAGTATGAAAATGGTTCCATGCAAAGTCTTGGTTTGAGCAATTCAGGAGCCATGAAAGTTCACATTGGAGGTGGAGGTGGATTCAACAGGAAGCGGAAATTAGATGAAGATGTGAGTAGTTTTTTCCCTTTTGCTAATAATTGTATATATTTTAAATTTCATATTTCTAGTGTGTAGTGTCCACAGTGCTGCCCATCGTTACAAATTTGGCGGAATCGTTACGATTTCTATTCAGTTTTACGAAAATACAATTGTAATACTCCTGATGGCGATTTTTGAAAATTTCAGCTACTACGTGGTAAATATGGGGAGAATAACTACCAGACCTGGACAGTTTACGTGACTACGTTATGTGCAGCCATTGTCTTTGCCCTGAACCCCTGTAGTCAGTCAGTGCCACTTTACCCTAAGGAAAACATAGACTACGGCAAACATTAGGTTGACAAGCTGTGAGAAAATTCCTGCCCTTTTGTGTTTTGGGCGACAGCAGGAATTTTCTCACAGCTTTTCAACCTAATGTTTGCCTTAGTCTATGTTTTCCTTAGGGTAAAGTGGCACTGACTGACTACAAGGGTTCAGGGCCAAAGTGATAATTGTTTGAAATAATATTCTGGAGTTTCTAGGACTATAAAAGTGAGGTACTTTTTTTTGGTTGAAATTTTGAGCATAACATTGCTTTCAAAAGCAGTTTCATCAAGCATTAACTATTTTTTTGGTAAAACAAACTTGTCAGTGACCTGTAACAACTATCTCTGCACATGTATGAAAAGTTTCCGTACAGTATCTTGATTAGTAGTTGATATTTTAGGGCTCTAGTGACAAATAAAGTTTTGAGAAAAACGCATTTAAAAAGATCACTGTAATTTGAGGGATAGTTCCTTCCAGAGGTTCCAGTTCCACATTCACTATTATTTCTAATCACCTGCAAAATCTTATGTCTATACAGTTACAAATAGCCTCACAACTAGAAGTTTAGTGAACCGAGTAGGCACAAAATGTAACAAAAAGAGAGGAAAAGTGGCCAAGCGTTCGAAGGGGGGGGATGTGGGTGAGGTCGTTTTTGAGAAGATCAATAATTTCATCAAAAATTGTCCAAAACCATTACCCGCAAGACCCCTTAAGTTATAAAGATTGTGATCGCAAAACAGGGCTGATTTTTTTTAGATCAAAGTTTTATCAATTCTGTAACATGTGAAGGAAATTCGACCACTTTTTTCCCTGTGTTTTCAAAATTAAACCTTAAACCAAAGTAGTTTTTTTAACAAAGATGTATTGAAAACTTATGTTTTTTTGTAATGTTTGAACAAGCCTCGCAAGCTTATGCGCCCCCCCCCCCCCATGGATAGCAAAGTCGAGCAATTTTAACTTAATTAGTCTGAAAGATCCAAAGTGATAAAGGCATTGAGAAAAATTGATAGCAGAACTGGATTTTGCAGTAAAAGTCACATGAATTTGCCAAGTTCCTTTCATATGCTTCCACTCATTACTGTTTTGTTTATAGTTTTCCTCAAAATACTTCAAGAGCTGTCCCACTTTTTGACAATATTTTCCTATAGGTCACCTAAAATTTTGCACCCAAGAAAACCTCCACAAAACTTTTTGATTTTGTCAATGAGTTTTAATATTGAAAAAACAGTGCTCAGAGTTTACTGCTCTTTTGTTTAAGTTTGTTTAAAAGCTATTTGAATAAAAAGGATTTTTTCATTGTCATCGCAACATTGATTCAGCTTGCAGAAAAATTATTAAAAAACATTAATGTTCATCCTGTTCAATTTCTCGTTGTTGGCATTCTAAATTCTTGTAACATATAGATGTGCCAGAGTTCTTGCGACTTTGGTTTTTGTTAGAACTGGTAATAAGATCATTAGATTGCCAACTGTCTGTAGATTTGAGTGTTCCAGTATCTGTGAATGTTTTAGAATGCTCCTAAATGATATGTGGTCCATGTTTGGTAAATTATTGTCTTACCCGTTTGTGGAATGTTTTGCCAGACGGACTCGCAAGATGCTCCGTCCACTCCACGACAAACTGGAAGCATGGTGGCTCATCATGATGACATCATCACCAGAATGAAAAATATCAACCTCATTGAATTTGGGAAATGGAGGATCAAACCTTGGTATTTTTCTCCGTATCCTCAGGTGAATTTTAAAAAAAAGTTTTTTATATATCCTAATATAGTATTTTGCCTTGAAGAGTTGTTCTCATAACATGGATACTTATTGTGCATATCTTTTTTCCCTGTCTTACCAAGGTTTTGTCGTAGTCATGTGTGTTTGGGTATGTGGTTGTGTAATGTGTGTTTGTTTGTAATCAAAATAGTAGACCAGTGTGCCAGCATCTGAACAAAAGCATTTATCTTAAACTTTTTCTTTTAATTAATAAAACTAATTGAATGGTTTACAGTGCTTCCACTCTTCCTTATTTTTACGGAAATCCGTACTTTCTGCCAGTTCCGTACTTGTTCCTCCATCATTATCAACTCCCTCCGTAAAAATCTGCGACAGCATGGTACTACCGAAATTCCGTAGCAAAAGGTTCGTACTCGCCTTCGTATAGTCTTGTATAAGTTACGGATATTTACAGTAATTCTCTCGGCAATAGGCTGGAAAATCTGCGCGTTGATCAAGTAAATTGACCTGTGATCTTAGACGGAAAATTACTGTCAGAAAGGAACTTTTTTTGCAAATTTATTGTCTAGATCTATCCAGGGTTCCCGCGGCCTCCTTGAATTCAAGGAGTCCTTGAAAACTGCTTGAATTTGCATTCAAGGAAAAATCTCCTTGAAAACTCCTTGAATTTTGCCAGATCGGACAGGAACACGTGTACAGGGTGACTGCCAGGCCCCGGGAATCCCGGGGGACCCTGGAATTACCCGGTCATTTTTAAAAAATCGCCGTGACCCGGAATGCAACGGGAATTTGAAGAAATCTGTAAATTGCCCCATGAAAGACCCGGGAAAATACATAAACGTTCTCGAATATTTGAAAACCAAATCCGATAACGTCCTTGAGTTCGTTTTTGCCGGTCGCGGTTGTGATATAAAATTCATTCGGCCTTTCCCGGCCTGAGAGTGAGAGTACGTTACCCGCGCACAGGCGGTTATGGCGGCAACAAGTGGAAGTGTATGTGCGATACCGAAGCTCGATCGGGAAAAATCAAGATCTACTTTCGCTTTCGTTACCACCTAGAAATTTGCCGGTAGGACCTATAGTATAGTACTCTGATAGCGCCACATTTGTAACATGCAGGTTCTGCATTACAAACGCTGTGTCGCCATGAAAATAAATCGTTTGTCCTGTGCTGTCACTTGTGGAAAAAAAAAGAAAGAAAAAGAAAGTTATACAAGCTTCTTGTCGGGCTCGCTATCGTGACCAGTCATTGAACCTGTGCATTTTCGTCACATCGTGAGTATCGGCGATGGTTGAGGTCACCAAAGTTCATGCAAAGTCTGAGCGCTGCGAAGTATAGGACTAGGGAATGGGGGGATTATTGATTTTTTTTTTTTAAGACGTACGCGGGGGAGGGGGGGGGGGGGGAAGGCAACACCGGATGACAAAAACTAAACTTGGAAGCAGATTTTACTTTTCTGAATTTTCATTACTACTATCTAGATCTCAAACTCTCTGCAATGCGCGCGTTGGTGCAGGCCTTGTATGGAATCGGGATCTGTCATACTCAAACCTTGTAAGCCGTGTGTTTGTAACTAAAGGGTTCCCGTTTCATTGGGTAGGTGATAGTAAATTACATGTACAGTAGTCTCCGCCTAAGATCCCACCGCTTACGATCACGGTTCGCTTAAGATCCCGCTGTTTTAAGAAAACAGAATTTTTACTATACAAAAGTCACCCCTAAGATCCCGCTCTGATTCACTCTTAAAAAGGTCTACATTCAGCTAAGATCCCGCATTTCAGATTATAATTTGCAGAACAAAAACTCGGGCGGGCACAACCGATCAACCAAGGGGGAAAAGTTAAGATCAATAAACTGTCCGTCGCGTCAAAGATCAGCCACTATCGTGAATGTGATCACATACACGTTGTAAAACTCAATGAAGCGATGCAATGTTTGCCCCAGACCGGATCACACCGAGGTGTGAACTGACCGACACGTTTGTTTTCCCCACGTATCGCACTCACACCTGAGCTCTCACCCTAAACTTACATCACTCGCTGGGTGGGTAGGGCCTATACGTTCGCTCCAGGCGGGATCACATCGAATCGTGAACTCTTCCCCGACCATTGCAGCAGTTGTCTCTACTCCCGAATTTGCGAGACAGACTGAATTTTAATTGGTGTGTTCACAACGTAATGGTGTGTAACGACAAAGGCGGTTGGGGGACTCGGTCGGTCAGAGATGGCAAGCTATAAAGGGGGGGGGGGGGACTCGGTCAGAGATGGCAAGCTATAAATTTTCTACAGGTAAAGGGGAGGGGCAGCTGGATAAGCGTAGATCTTGAGACTCATGATAGGATAATTCGTGAAATGGCACGCCTCATGCCACTATGCACTGTGATAGGTCATCAAGGTTAACCACTTTTTGCTCGCCTTATGTCATAAACCCACCAAGGGGTCACGTCAGTTCATTTAAGAGTGGAGGGAGACCATTTTACCGATTGTGAGCCTTAACATGGGTCACCATAGATTCTTCCCTGGGTTCGTCGGTTAAGATCCCGCTTCGCTTAAGATCCCGCATTTCTTGGCTCCCGAGCACCGGGATCTTAGGCGGAGACTACTGTATTGTATTCTATATTTGAGCTTTCTGTTAAAGATGTGCAGATTTTCAGAGTCACTGCGTCTTGCCCTCCCACAGTTTTTACACCTCTCACACTGAATAGGTCTACTTGAGACATTCATGTTATTACTCTATTTTTAGTTAGAGTAATAATTTTTATCTTTTACGTTTATTGTATAAACCTTGACATCCAAACTGGTTCTTGACAGTGGATATTCTGGTTCTAGGCCTTTTCTCAGGCTCAAAGCAAGATTCATTTTTATATAGTTTATATAGGGGAATATGATGAGGGGAAAATATAAATAAGTAAGAATTGACTGAAATACCTAAGTCACAGTATCCCAGTGCCACACTGACATGTTGCTGACTGGAATGTACCTACATGCGTGCGTGCGCACCATTCTGTGTATATATTAATAAATAATATATAAATGAAGCATGCACTGTCATTGTTATGTAACATGCCCCTGGAGAATGGATGAGGCCCCCCCACCGGAAAATTGAGAAGCCGGGTTGGCAGTCACCCTGCGAACAGTTTTTGTAGGGAAATCGAAACTATGATATGATTCTTTTCGGACAAGTGTAGACCTTCGAAAATAGGCTTTTGACATGAATTTCTTGACCAAATCTCCTTGAATTTTAAAAATTTCTCCTTGAAACCTCCTTGAAATCTCCTTGAATTTGGTGGGAAGTTCATGGCAGGAACCCTGTCTATCTAGATCTAGAGAAGTTATCAGTGTGAAGATTCTACGGCGCAGGAACGCAATAAGGGCCGCGATGAAAGAAATTTGTGCTGAAACTTCTAAAATCAAGAATAATTCGAAGTGGTGTTGTGAGGTTGTGACATGCGACATTCAGACGTGAAAATTGAGGAAAATTAGGGTATACACTGGGTAACTATTGTGAAGGTTCATATCTATTCATTATTCTCAGGTTTGCCTTTTATCAGTGGTGCGATGACAAATTAATTGAATAATAGTAGCAATGGAAAGGGAACCTGCTTTTAGACATTGCCAGCAAAGGAAAGATATGTAGGTGAAGAAATCAAACAAGACAAAATCTTTTTGAAAAAAATAGGTAGTATGGGTTGTTGACAATCTCTTCAAACAGGCTCCCAAATGCCATTTTCAACCCTCTAAAAGTACTAAATTTCAATTTCTTCGGGGAAGCCCCCTGAACCCCTACCGCTGTCCCTAGACCCTGCTGGGGACCTGTGCGACCCCCAGCAGAATTTTCCTTACTTTTCAGCTTCAGCTAGTGGAAGCACTGGGTTTAGTTGTGTATGTCTCTGGAGCCATTTTTTTTTTTGGGGGGGGGGGGGGGGGAGGGTTTGCTCTATAATTCCTGCTGTATGATTTTTTCACTTTGTTCACCTTGTGCTGGATCACTGAGAAAATGTATACAGTCGAATCTGCCTTAACGGAAACCTGTATGAAACGGAAACCTGTCGTAACGGAATCTTCCCGCTCCCCCCTTGATATATTCCTCTTTCATTACCTGAATAAAACGGAACCTGTCCAATGCGGAAAACGGAGTGAAAAATCCGCTCCCTTCCGAGGGTTTCACTTATCTAAGACGGAAAATGCTTTGCCCGCTCAGCCCTGATTTGAAACAAAACTCGCAAGTTTGGTTCCACCGTCTCTAAAGTTAATGCCATGGCCATGCCGCTAGGCGAGGAAGGGGAGTAGGGGTGCAATTTGAGGGTAGATGTTACCCCATCATTTGAGCCCTGAGGGATTCAGATTGTCAGGGTAGTGTAGTGTGAGTGTGAAATCTCACGACTGCCCGTGAGAGTGCACGAGTAGTGAGCTACTATGGAAACTTTCCTGGGTAGCCAGAAGCCAGAGGTGTGAAATTAGATAGACCAAAGCCCTGATCGTACGGCCAGCCAAGAAAAAAGTTCCTCGAATCGTTTTTACATGATGGCAGTGAGGGGTGACATTGATTGACTGTGCTTGTTATACCGATGTGTGGGGCTAAGGGTGAAAGCAAAGGAGATGTTCAAGCGTTTTTTTTTAATAGGTCAAACAGTGGTCCTATGAAAGGCAAGCGCTGGTGGTAATTGGATAAGTAAGACTGTATGTCATTATCAGACAGGATAGCAGTTGAGAGGTGTGAAGCATACCTGCCAACCCTGCAGGAAAAATCGGTATACCACCGACTTTTTGGTCAAATTACCGATACACCGATTTTGAGAGATAAGCCACCGACTTCGGGATTCTGCAGGGTGATTGCCAGGCCCCGGGAATTACCCAGGAATTAGAGGAAATCTGTAAATTGCCCCGAGAAGATACATAAAAGTTATTGAATATTTGAAAACCAAATCCGAAAAGCCCGTAAGTTCATTTTTGCCGGTCGCGATTGTGATATTCATTCGGCTTTCCAGGGACCGAGAGTACGTTTCTTC